TGATGATGATGATGATGATGATGATGATGATGATGATGATGATGATGATGATGATGATGATGATGATGATGATGATGATGATGATGATGATGATGATGATGATGATGATGATGATGATGATGATGATGATGATGATGCTGATTGTCGCGATCATGGCGTTGCTGTTGTTTAGCTTTCCCTTCTGAATCGTAGGCATTGTTGATCCCCCGCCCAGCGCCCAATGTTTTTTCAACTGCACTGTTTCTGTCGGCTCTCGCACACCGTTCCGCGCCGGGGGAAGTCTTAAGAGCCTCAACCTGTGCCGGCCTCAGGCTGCAGCAACAGGGGCTGGGGCCCCTTTCGCTCGAGGCGGGGCGCTCGCCGGCAGTTTTGAGGAATCAGTTCCGTGCGCAGAGGGGCATCTCGGCTCCTGTCGGATGGGGGTCCCTTCCCTGCAGAAGGCTCTCGTTGGTTGTCAGGTCTTGGTTCGAGGCCCCAGTGGCGTTCGAAAAACAAGGGCGCTCCCGAGGGCGTGAAGTTATTCGCGCTTCGCGCTTCGGCTCCGATTCCTAGCTCATCTTCCTCTTCTCCCCAGGGGGGCGGCGCGAGAGCGCGAAGTTATTCGCGCTCTCGCGCAGCGCGAGGGGCGAAGCTAGGCGCCCCTTGCAAAAAGCGCACTCGGTCGTCGATGCGTGTTGTGTTTTTTCTTGCGCCCCGGTGGCCGCTGCATGCTGCCCATGTCGAGGGCCCTGCTGCCGCTGGGCGGCTCGCTTGGGAGGGTCTCCTTCCCCCCCCCCTGCCGAAGGAGGAGGGAGCAGGGAAGAGGAGGGAGAAGTCCGGGAGGAGGGAGGAGGGAGAAGGAGGGAGGAGGGAGGAGGGAGGAGGGAGGAGGACGGAGGAGGTATCCTTCTCCCCCCCCCGCCGAAGGAGGAGGAGGGAGCAGGGAAGAGGGGGGGAGAAGGTCTCCTTCCCCCCCCCGCCGAAGGAGGGGGAGGGAGGAGGGCAGAGGACGGAGGAGAAGCGGGGGCAGGTGAGTCGGCGGCGAGCGAGGGCGAGGAGGCGGCGGGGCTTCTCGGAAGCCCTCCGGCCTTTGAGAGGCTTCCTCTGTCTTGGATTAGGTCGGCCTACAGGGGGATTTTGGGCGAAAAATGAAAAGTAGTCAACGAATACCCCCCAAATGCTCCAACATTGTCAAACAATCGTCCCCAGATTATTTTTTGACTATTTTTGAGTATTCCCCCTGTAGAGGGACAGGCCCGACTTAAGTCTTGGGGGGAGGCTTAGAATTAAGTCGGGCGTGTCGTGTCCTCCTACAGGGGGATTTTCGACGAAAAATAAAAAATACCCCAAACATAGTAAAAACATAGTCCAACCATAGTCAGGTTTTTTTTTTGTTTTTTGTTTGTTTGTATTTTTTGTGTATTTTTGGGGGTATTTTTCATTTTTCGTCGAACATCC